CAGGAATGGGCACATCAGCCACAGCCCCTCCACGGGACCCAGCAACGTTCCTATCCAAGGCAGCCGGATGGAGACCCCCAGCGTGCCCACAGCCCGCGGCCAAGCCCGGCCCCCTTACATCCAGATGCATTTGGTTGAGGGCGTAAATGATCTCCAGGTGACGCGGCAGCAGCTTTTCAAACATGGAGACGGGCCAGCGCTCCAGGGCTTCGGGCAGCACGGTGTGGTTGGTGTAGGCACAGGTCCGCTTCGTGATCTCCCAGGCCTGCATGGCAGACAGCAGGTTAGTACGTACGTGCCCCGACCAGGAGGGGAAAGGAATCCCCATCTGTGTGAGGAGGGGACAACAGCTCTATCCCCTGCAAGGTTCGGCACGGACCTCCCAGCTCTGCTTACCTTGTCCCACTCCACTTTCTCCACATCCACCAAAATCCGCATGAGCTCTGGGATGGAGAGGGCAGGGTGGGTGTCGTTCAGCTGAATAGCCACCTGCAACACAGACTTGCTGGGATCAGATCTGGCAATGAGAAGACTGTGACAGTGTCCCAGATGCACGGGGGTTGGGGTGAGGGTCGATCCCAAGCCCCTTCTCAGGGCACATGCTGCAGAAACACACGTGGCTCCCAGACATGGAGCTACTCAACCTTTGCAAGTTTTGCTCCAAATTGCAAAATATGCCCTGGGATAACAGGCTGAGAGGTGACCTTTTTTTCCAACCCAAATTGCCAGGGTCTTTGTATACATGCTCCTACTTGGTCCCAAGCATCCTGCTCTCCCTCACAACAGGCAGGTCTGGCTGAAATGCCCCCACACCCTCTCTGCCCACAAACTCACCTTGTCTGGGAAGGTTTCAAAGCATGTTCTCACAGGGTCTCGGCAGCCAAATTTGGAGGACTTAAAGCGGCGGATGATGTCCTGGAGGGTGGCAGCCACCACAAAGTACTCCTGCTTCAGCCGCAGCTCCTTGCCTTCGAAGAACTGCAAGTGAGGGGGTCACAGCCATCAGTGCTGCAGCTGCCATCCCCAGCTGACAGCCAACCCCCTGGAGATGCTCCTGTACGCTCTGATGGAATTCCCAAGAGGTCTCACAGGTTCAGAACCTCATCAAGGGCAAACATGGGTGTTTCTCATACTGCTTCTGATGGGGCAGCATCTGTGGGGACTGACAAGGGGCTTGGCATCCCAAACACCTGCCTCCAGAGGACAACAGAACCTGCCACATCCATGCTACTCCTACAGAGCAGGAGCAGCTCCCTCCCTTGCAGCAAGACCCTTTGCAGGGCTTTTGGACCAAGGGTTTTTGGACTCACAGCAAGAGCCAGGAGACAGTGTCTGGACACACTAGCTGCTCCCCACACATGCTACCCTTCATGCTGTTCTATTTTAGCAGGAATGAGAGAGTGAGGGTAAAGTGCAGGAGATGAGCTTTTCCCGCACTGATGCTAATCCATGACTAAACAGTGAGGGCTCTTTCCTCTTGGCTCCATTGCCCAGTGAGTGCCTGGCCTGGGACAGTCCCTGCAGTGAGAAATGCCTTGAACCGGAGATGGAAACGTGTCCCCCCCTCATGGCCGCCTCTGAAACGACAACTTTTGCAAAGCGTCAGCCGCCTGAATTGGCAACTGCCTTGAATCTGAAGAGGTAACAGAGCAGCTATACAATATGGGCCAAACTCGCAGCTCCCATCAGTCAGCAGAGACCCTCTGGAGCCAGCAGAACTCTGTCTTTTCTCTGAGCATTTCGAGGCCAACCTATTGTACTGCAAATCCTCAAACCAGAACCAGAAACATCAGGTGGCCATGACTTTCCACAATGCTTGCAAACATGGTGATACAACTACAGGGAGGATGATCCTGAGCAGCAGGGAAGAAATCACAGAATCAAAGAATCACAGAATCCTAGGGGTTGGAAGGGACCTTGAAAGACCATCCAGTCCAACCCCCCTGCCAGAGCAGGGTCACCCAGAGCACATCACACAGGAACGTGTCCAGGTGGGGTTTGAATGTCTCCAGGGAAGGAGACTCCACAGCCTCTCTGGGCAGCCTGTTCCAGTGCTCTGTCACTCTCACAGTAAAGAAGGTTTTTCTGATGTTTACGTGGAACCTCCTATGCCCCAGTTTGCACCCACTGCCCCTTGTTCTATCACTGGTCATCACTGAAAAAAGCCTGGCTCTGTCCTCCTGACACTCATCCTTAATGTATGTGTAAACACTGATGAGGTCACTCATCAGTTTCCTCCAAGCTGGAGACCCAGCTCCCTCAGCCTTTCCTCATCAGGGAGATGTTCCACTCCCTTCATCATCTTTGTGGCTCTGCACTGAACTCTTTCAAGCAGTTCCCTGTCCTTCTGGAACTGTGGGGCCCAGAACTGGACACAATACTCCAGATGTGGCCTCACCAGTGCAGAATAGAGGGGGAGGAGAACCTCTCTTGACCTACTAACCACACCCTTTCTAATTCACCCCAGGATGCCATTGGCCTTCCTGGCTACAAGGGCACATTGCTGGCTCATGGTCATCCTCCTGTCTACCAGAACCCCCAGGTGATGCAAAAGAGTCACTCACGTTGTCATTTGGGTACAGGACTCGGGATATGTTTTCAGCCAGGTTTCTGTCCAACACCGCCTCGATGTAGTCACCCACGTTGACTGCAGCAAGAGAGAAATACACACAGCACTGCAGCAGCTGGAGAGGTTCAGCCTGGTCCCTGACACAGCACTTCTCCCTCTTCTCTTGTGGAGAGATTAGTAACAGGAACATTCAGGATGGTATTAATGAAATACGAATGGGAATGTACATATGTGAAAGGCACCAGAAAGACAGGAGGAGATGGGAGATGAGAAAGGTGTATCTCTGTGCAGTTTCTCAAGGCACACATATCAGGAAGGACAGACAGAATTGGCAGACAGATAGCAGCCAGAGAAGGCAAAAAAAAAAGGATGTGAGTGACCAGTCATCTTGCTTAAGGACTAAGGAGAGATGGGGCAGGGCAAAGCAGCACAAAGACCACAGTCACACTCAACTCCTGAGCTGAAACCCAGCTCGCAGCTGCACATCAAGAATCAAGGAGACGTGACAAGGACTTGAGAGCCATCATCCATTGTCCCACACAAGTTCTCCTGGCAAGGCTGCTTGAACACACACATCTCTGTGCCTGCCAGTACGGAGGAATAAATAAAATCATTCTAGTCTAAAACCTTCCCCTTCTGTAACAGTGCAGCACTGCATTTGGTATGTTAGTTATCCTATGTCTGCTCTTCAGCACTACAATTAGAGCCTGAAAAAAAATACTAGAGAGGTCACACACAGACCCAAAGCAAACCAACAGTAAAGTGGACTGTGCTGTTCTTTTTCTTCAGCACCAAAGGATGAGAGAAATGACCCTCCATGGCAAGTGTGGGTTTGCAGCTCATTTGATGATGTGCAGAATGCAGCAGGAGGTGGTCTACCACTTGGGAAAGGCACAGAGCAAGTTTTGAGAACGTTAAGTGTGACAGGGATGGAAGAAGGATGGATGGGTGGGTGTTCTGGTGCAGGAGAGCTCTGGAAGTGGTTGGAAGTAGCGCGGATGTGCACACAGCACTGTGTCTTGGAGGTAGCCAGGAGATATGGATAAAGCAAGCCAGATGGGGAGTGCTGTGCACACAGGAACAACCATGTCCCAGCCTCACCAGAAGAGAGGCAGTGGAGGGATAGCACTTACACTCCTGGAGGTTGAAGTCATTGGGTGCTTTTGCAGACCACAGCCTCATGGTGTTTACAGTATTGTTCTTGTATCCTGGCACTGGTGTGTCATAAGGCATAGCAAGGACAACCTGCAAAAGGACAGTATTCCCCTATGATTAGCAGCATGGTGGCCTCAGAGAAGGTGGGAAAGCAGCTGAAACCTCTGCAGGAAGAATCCAGAAGACACAGATGACTCCTGGTTGTGGTAAGAATCTCACCTCACTACAACACACCTGCTGAGCTTCACAGACTTCCCTCCCATCATGAGCACTTTGAACACCTACTGGTAAAGCATTAACAGGAGAAGCTGACCTGTTTGGAGCTTTGCTGATGAACTGGAGTTACAAGCCCATCAGTGAAATGGAGAATAGAGCTGAAAGCAACCTCCTGACCTTCCTTTACCAACTGGCATACCTATTAGTTATTCCCAGAGTACTGGAAGCATCCTCAGCTGCCCACTGTGATTCTATGCTGGTGTAGGGCCACGGCAGCTGGGACCTTTGTGTTTATCTGGGATAAACTCCACAGCCTGCACCCCACCTATTAGCCTTCTGCAGCCTGCCAGGGCCCACCCTTACTCCCCCAGAGCCATTCCCAGAGCAATCCACCCAATGCTCAAAGTTTGTTGAACATGCACAGGTAAATCCACTGAGATGTCCAGCACCCAAAGTGAACATGAGTGCAAAACTGTTAGTGCAGCCTATGGATGATGCTCCAGCATCAGATGCTGCACACATGGCTACAGGGAGTTAACACTGGGGCTCCCAGCTCAAATTACAGTACCCAGGCAAGGGTGTGCTTCCAAGCTTGTGTGCTCCAGCTCACTTCTGTGCCGACATCTGCATGTGTCCAGATAAGCTGAGCAGCAAGACAAAGCATCCCAACCTCAGCCTGGAACAAAGAGGCTCAGGGCTTATGCCAGCAGAGCTGAATGGTCCTTGCAGATCAAGGCCCTGACCCTGCAGCCCAGACTGCCTCTCTGATACTGGCAAAAGGAGCCAGCACCCCCCTGAACAAGTCAGTGTGTAGTGGCATGACACCCTGGCAGCCAGAGGCTGTCCCCAGGCAACGAGGTGAGAGGCAGCACAGGCCTGAAGCAGCTGTGCTCACAGGGCAGGGAAAACCCAGGCAGCTCAGCATGTTGGCCCTGAACAGCATCTTTGTGCTGGCGTCAGCAACACCTTCCCTCTGGAGGGAATGAGCAAAAGCTCAGGCTCAAAGCTGCTATTACCAGATCCAAACATGGAAACCAGCAGAAAGCCTGCTCTGCCTGAGCCATGGGACTGGGGCACACATAACGTGAACTGAGTGATGCTATATTTGGAGACTGCATTTTTTCAGCCTTTCCAACTTGTTCCCTTAACAGCCCTAGCTGAAAATTGACCTCTTTGTAGGAAGCAACGTTTCCACTGCACTGCTTGGGATCCCTGAAACCTAGGACTACTGCCAGGGTCAGAAAAGGAGCACGTTGAAAGGCAGTGGCACTCGGTCCCCAACTGGGTGTCTGCTTCCCTAGAGAGCTCTGGCATGGTGCCTCCATGCAGTTCACTGCTCTGTGGTGTTGAACATCTGCACTGTGTTTGTCCTGGGAATGGCCCAGGTCACTGCACAGACATTGACAATCAGGACCCCTGGAAAAGGACCTCCTCTGAGTGGGCCCAGGCAACTTCAGAACTGAGCTTCAGCTCTTGGTGCTGAAGAGAATGGCTTGGCTTTATGACTCTGCACTCCTCAGATGGACAGAGCTGGCACATTAGGCTGACACACCCTTGAATGTCATGGGAACAAGGCTAGGTCATGTCCCTAAATCCCAGAGAAATTAATTCCTTCCTCCATCCTAGACAGTGCTTGGACAGGAGAGACTGAAACATCTTCAATCCTCTTAATAAGCCCGTGCATCTTTGAAGCCTGCCTTCCTCAACTGTAAGACTGGAATGCATTCCTGAAGCACAGCAATACTTCCCAACATCCATAGAATCATAGAATATTAGGGGTTGGAGGGGATCTCTGGAGATCCTCTAGTCCAATCCCTCTGCTAGAGTAGGATCACCTTGTTCAGGTCACACAGAAAGGCATCCAGACAGGTCTTGAAATCCTACAGAGAAGGAGACTCCACAACCTCTCTGGGCAGCCTGTTCCAGTGCTCTGTTACTCTCACAAGTAAAGAAGTTTTTCCTCATGTTGAGGTGGAACTTCCTGTGCTCTAGTTTGCATCCAGTGCCCCTTGTCCTGTTGCAGGGCACAACTGAAAAGAGACTGGCCCCTCTTGACACCCACCCTTCAGATATTTGTAAACATTAATAAGCTCCTCTCTCAGTCTTCTCTAGACTAAACAGCCCCAGGTCTCTGTCTTTCCTCATAGGGCAGGGGTTCCACTCCCTTAATCATCCTCATAGCCCTCTGTTGGACTCTCTCAAGTAAATCCCTGTCTCTCTTGAACTGGGGAGCCCAGAACTGGACACAATACTCCAAATGTGGTCTTACTAGGGCAGAGTAGAGGGGGAGGAAAACCTCCCTTGACCTGCTGGACACACTCTTCTTAAAGCACCCCAGGATACCATTGGCCTCCTTGGCCACAAGGGCACATTCCTGCCCCATGGATAACTTGTTGCCCATCACGTCTCAAAGGTCCTTTTCCATGGATTTGCTTTCTAGCAGGGCAAACCCTCATCTTTATAGGCAAATGGTGATATTTCTCCCCAGGTGCAGAACTCTACACTTACTCTTGTTGAACCTCGTTCGGTTCCTTTTGGCTCAGCTTTCCCATCGCTCCAAAGCCTGCTGAATGGGTGCACTTCCTTCCAGTGAATCAGCCTTTGGGAGGGTCAACAAGCATTTCCTCTCCACAATGCCACAAAACAAGTCCTCCAGGCAGACTGGAGACTTGAAGCCATGCCTCCAGCCTCCCCTGACAGCACTCTACCTATCAGGCTGCTCTGGGAAAGGGGAGCTTGCTCTGACCACGGGAGTTAAAACACCTGCAGGATTGTTCCATGCCCACCCCACAATATTAATCTCCATCCACAGCAGCAGCACCAGAACCACCTGCAAAACCACTGGGTCTGAGTGAGTGGTAGCCAGGAGCAGTGTGGAAGGAGCCTAGCTCAGCTGCTGGGGATGTGCTCCTGCTTTGACATCGATCCAGGCAAGACCGTGGGGCTTCACCCTGGACATGGAATCACAGCATTGTTTTGGCTGGGGAAGACCAGCAGGGTAGGGTCTCCCAACTGATCTCAGGTTACAGCTGTGACTAAACAGCACAGTCATATCACGCTTTCCTCAAATCCTGCTGCAGCTGTGGCCAACAAAGTCACCTTTGTAATTGCAAGGGCAGCAGAGAGAGTTTTGCCGGGCTGGGACAGAATCCCAAGCCACCCTGGCCTTGCCTTCCCCCAGCCCAGGAGGGAGGCAGGTGTTGGTACCTGGGTGTCCACCCACTTCACCCCCTCGGGGCTGTGCTCCACACGGCCATAGAACTGCACGGGGAGCATGTACTCCGGGCGGGCCTTCTCCCAGGGGTTCCCGTAGCGCAGCCAGTCGTCCGCCTCCTCCACCTGCAAGAGGCACAGAGGGCTCAGGGGATGGCTTTGTGTGGGAACTAGGCTCTCCAAAAGGAGGTCAGCTCAGAAGCAAAAGCTTTAGGAAGCTGGCTTTAAAAAAAAACAACAGGCAAGCGGAGACCTCTAGAGGGCAGCTGGGCTTTCTGAAACGTGGGTGACTGCATCCCAGCTGGTATAAATAAACCAGCACCTATGGGCTTTGCAGAGCTGTACAGGTCGAAACCACCCAAACTGCTGCACTCAGAGTCTGTCTCAAGGCCTTCACATCCAGTTTGACTGTGACAGTGGGCACGTGGGAAGCCCACTGGTGCTGTTCCTGGCCACAAACCACCCCCTCGCTAAATGCTCTGCTCTCTGCCAGAGAGGATTTCTCCTCTCTGCTCATAGCAGCACCAACGACAGTGAAGTGAATTCAGCAGAGCCACCAAGGCTGACGTGCACCAGAAGCCAGAGGGGATGAGGCACGTGGAGAGATGCTCAGGGCCCACAGGCATTTTTCTGCCAGGCGGGGGAGCAGGTCTGAACAACAACCCAGCACCGACACCACTACTGTTTTTTTTATAAAGCAACATGAAGCCAAATATAGGGGATGCTTTTTTTCTGCTTGCACCATTTATAGGGCCTAGCATTGCAGATTCTTTGTGGGGAAGGAGCAAAAAAAAAACAACCAACCCTTAAACCTCTCACCCTCCCTGACTTTTGGAGAGCTATTTTAAGGGGAAGAAAAGGTCCTTTACGCTATGAAGCAAGGCGAGTCTCCCAGTGGAAACCATTTCCAGATATACACTAGGGAAAACGAACAGTTAGGGCAGTTTTATAGCCTATTTTCACTTGCAAACTGTTACGATCATTAATGCTAGAGGAGATGCCCTGTTGAAGCCCCTGCTGCCAGTGTCCCAGGGAAACCACAAGAGTAGCAAAAGCCCAGGCACTTGCATGTGTTCTATCATGTTCAAATTCATCCTCCACCAAACACCTTCATGAGGTGTTGAGCCACATCTCTGTCCTTAGCCTGACTCCTTGCTCACTGGCATCCAGGCTGGATGGGACTCTCAGGTTGTTGCAGCCGTGCCACGGAGACCTGGGCAGGGAGACCTCTGGTCCCAGCCATGCCCTGTGGGCTCAGCCCCAGCACCATCTTGCTGGGCTGCTGACTGGCCTGGATGAGCTCACAACGTGTCCCCTGCTCCCTGGGCCCTCACGTGCACCTGCTGCACACACACCCACCACCCTCACCACTTCTCTGCTCGGGCAGTCAGAGCCCAAGGCTCAGCACAAGCAACAGGAAGGTGACTGGCTCCAACACCCTGCTTACGAGCAGCTCAAGGCACCACAGTGCATTGTCGACAGGCAGAGGTGGCCACCACACCACGAAATAGAAGGAGAAAGGGTGACTTGAGTTTGCCAGTGTACCTGCCAGCCGTTGACAATCTTCTGATTGAAGATACCGAACTCGTAGCGGATGCCGTAGCCGTATGCTGCCAGCCCCAGCGTGGCCATGGAGTCCAGGAAGCAAGCTGGAAGACCAGAAGAGCATGGCCATATTGCAAGGAACCTCACCCCTCGCTTGCTGCACCTGCTACAGCCTGCTGTGCATGGGGGTGAGGAGCTGCTGCAACCAACACCATTGGAAACGTTTATTACTCAGAGAAAATCTGCGTGCAGAAGGGACAGAAGGGGACAGCCTGCAGCAGGACCCTGTGCATGTCCTGCCAAGCCACCATGAACACCCCCAATTTGTTAGTGACAAGGGCAGGTCACCAAAATGCCTAATCCAGCCTTGTCGCAGTGACAGCTCTTCTAGCCCAAGCTGCCCATGCTTTGCTCTAAGTCTGCCTGCCTGGTAAAGCAGGGCTTCTGACCTGACTTGCTGCTCCACCAGCTACTTCACTATTACTGCCTTCAAAGCAAACCCTTCCAGCCCTCAGTCTGAAACAGCTCTGGTAAAAATCAGCCCTGGTGTTTCCTCAGCACTGGGGAGCTCTTGTCTCCAGGAGTCCCGTGGGACAGGCAGATTAAAATAGAAGCCAACAATCTGCCTACATGTGAGCTGCTTGGGTGCCTCCAAGAAGTGAGAGATTTCACATGGAGTAGGGAGCAAGGATGCAGGCTGAGCTCTGCCTGCTGTCCTGCTTGCAGTGCTGGTGGCGAGGGTGTGACAGCCTCCAGCCAGGCCACCCTCGGTCCCCATGCACTCTGCACAAGATGGGGGTGAGGAGCTGCTGCAACCAACACCATTGGAAACGTTTATTACTCAGAGAAAATCTGCGTGCAGAAGGGACAGAAGGGGACAGCCTGCAGCAGGACCCTGTGCATGTCCTGCCAAGCCACCATGAACACCCCCAATTTGTTAGTGACAAGGGCAGGTCACCAAAATGCCTAATCCAGCCTTGTCGCAGTGACAGCTCTTCTAGCCCAAGCTGCCCATGCTTTGCTCTAAGTCTGCCTGCCTGGTAAAGCAGGGCTTCTGACCTGACTTGCTGCTCCACCAGCTACTTCACTATTACTGCCTTCAAAGCAAACCCTTCCAGCCCTCAGTCTGAAACAGCTCTGGTAAAAATCAGCCCTGGTGTTTCCTCAGCACTGGGGAGCTCTTGTCTCCAGGAGTCCCGTGGGACAGGCAGATTAAAATAGAAGCCAACAATCTGCCTACATGTGAGCTGCTTGGGTGCCTCCAAGAAGTGAGAGATTTCACATGGAGTAGGGAGCAAGGATGCAGGCTGAGCTCTGCCTGCTGTCCTGCTTGCAGTGCTGGTGGCGAGGGTGTGACAGCCTCCAGCCAGGCCACCCTCGGTCCCCATGCACTCTGCACAAAGAGGGGACTCCCCTCCCCCCAGATTACCTGCCAGTCGGCCTAGGCCTCCATTTCCCAGCCCAGCATCTTCTTCTATTTCTTCCAGCTCCTCCAAGTCCAAACCCAGCTGTTGGGGAAAGAGACACAGCAGAACACGTCACCACCCAAAGCCCATGCCCTGGGGCTGCTCTCCCAGGAGGGCAACCACGGATCCCAAAACAACCCACACCAGAGGAAATTAAACCCATTGAGGTCTCTGCATCCCTCTACCCTTCCCTCCCCACAAAGCATCTCACCAGCCTATAGTCTCCGGGCAGCCCAATTAATTAAAAAACAACTTAGCCCATCATCAAATGTCACCTTCCCACGAGCTAGGTTTCCTTAGAGAGCTCAAACACAACACTCATCTCCTGGCAGCCCCTCATGCCAGGAGGCCCTTCCGCCGTCGGGCTGCCCCTCTGCCTGCGCCCACCCGCTCCTTGCCGAAGGGCAATGACCACACCAGCAGCTGGTTACTGCAGCACTTGCTGTTACAGTCCATGTCCTCCCGCATCCTGCCCAACCCGCCGCCAGGCTCGCTGGCTGGAGTCCATGTCTGGAAGTGGTTGTCTCCTCTGCTGCGTCCATCAGGCCATTTGTTCCCCGGCTCCGGGGCTGCTGCCAGATGAAGGCTAAGCATGCCAGCAGCAAGGGACTATCTAGGAGTTGAGACGTGTTGCCTCTTGGAGGGCAGCAGCATCTCACCTCAGGGACAGTGGGGAGTCAGGCTGACACCGCGGCTGCTCCCTGAACCACTCTCCCAGCACTTCAGGGATCTGCAACCACAAGCTGGGAAAGTCTCATGCATCTTGTGACAGGGTCACAAAGCCCAAGGCGAATTCTCTCAGCAACAGAGCCATGCTGGAATACGAGACCTCCCATCCCAGCTGGCCACTGGCCATGACAAGCTCCATCTATCAGAGGATACTACAGCCAAGGAAGCCTCCTCTCACACATCAGGTCAAATCAGCACACAGAAAATGCCTTGCAAATGGACTTGAGGATCCTCCCTGAGAAAAATCAGACTGCTGTGTGAGGCACAACACCTCAGAGGAAACCTGCCAGGTCCCACCCTGGAAATCCCTTTCCATCCCTTGACAGGGAAAGTGCTCACCAGGATGCTTCATCAAGCAACCATAGCACCTCATTTTGAGAAACAATGGCAGCGCCAACTGCTGCTAGGAAGTGTAACATGGATCGATCTGGTGGGGCAAGGGAGGAGGGGAGGAAAGAAAGCTTTTGGGTGAGAAAGACCAAAAACTCATTATCTGTCAAAAAGGTCACTGTCCTGCTGCAGAGGTGGCTGCAAGTAACTATGACCTTGCGTTTGTGATTTCCTTGGTAACATTCAGATGTGTTTTTTCTAGTTTGAACTCATCTGATGACATTGTAATTCAAGCAAATGCTTTCTAAACCTCCCTTCCTCCCTCCCTTCTTCTGCAGCAATTCACTTCTATCCAGCAGCACTGCTGCAGTGCCATGTGTACCTGCATGTATGAACTGTAATCTGGTGGTTTGGTGCTCCAGTTTCCCCTTCTGGCCCAACCTCCACTATGAGACTACACCTCCCATGACGAGCCATCAGGTTTCCCAGCAATGGAAAGCTACTTGCAGCCTGGGATTCTCTAGTCTTTTGGGATACTGGGTGTTGCTTTCTGGATATTCTTCAGGATTTTCCCAGTCACTACATGAAAACGGTGGCTTAAGAAAACCATACTCCAACTCTCAAGGAGCCCCAAGGTTCTCCCATAGTCTTTTCTAGGAGATGAAAAACACGATCAGAGAGCCAAGTCTCACTTCGTTTAGTCAAAATAACACATCCTTATAAGGAAGCCCAGAGAAATAAAGATACCCAGCCCAGTCTTTGCGTGGAAGAGTTTGGCCAATGCTTCAGGTGGACCCCAGTACCCCCGAGATTTCACCTGGTAAATAGCTTCATCACAAGCGTTCTGCAGGCCCAGGTTCACCATGGTGTTCTGCAGAGTGCGGCCCATGTAGAACTCCAGGGACAGGTAGTAAATGCGCTGGGGAGGCAAAGCAAGATGCTTACACACAGCACAGCACTTGGTTTTCACCAAAGCAGCTTAAAATTAGGAGCAGACTGAAGTGCTTTCCAGAGTAGGGACATCTTCCCCAACTGGTTCTTGGCAACCGCTCCTGAACACCACGCACCAGTTTGTTTGTCAGAAGGACCTCATGTGGGATGCCAGCCAACCCTCTGCTGTGGGCCTCCCTGCCAACAGCCTTCTATAGAAAAATCTCGTTGCCTGTTAAGTGTTGCCTTAATTAACTCAGGGCAAGAATTACCTAGGATGCTGAATGGTATATTTATACACCGCCAAGCTCTGCTGAGGTGGCGCTTACTCTGGGCTTTTAAAGTCTTTCCATGCCGAGCTGAAGCTGATCCAGAGCCTGCCGAAAGACAGAGCAAGCCCCCCAGCAGGCTAGGCCCCTTCCTGCTAGCAACTTTCCAGCAGTCCTATCACATGGGTCCTTCTGTTCTCCCCGCATCAAGTTTCACACACACGTTTCACCCTGTTGAACAAATAAACTGTCCCACGGATGGCAGGGCTCCTGGGACAAGTGTGCAAGTCAGGCTGCTCTGCGGTGACCTTCCAAGGTCCGGAGCAGCTGTGCCTGTGCCACAAATACTGATGACAGCCTGCCTGTAGAATGAGAAGCAGCGCAGACTGCTGTGCAAACTGTCGCCCTCATTCAGATCGACCGCCGCAGGTACTCTTACTAATAAACAGGATTTTTTAACAGAGCAATAGCCTGATGTTAAATCGGGCTTCCCCTTGAACCTCTTTCCTTCATGTCTGGGAACTTTCACCACTAAGCAGCAGGATTACCCGCTCTGCGACCTCTGCTGGGAGTCTGAAAGGCTCCATCTGTTCTTTCAGGCTCCTTGGTAAGACTGAAAACATCACACAGTGCCATAAATACTCAACTCCTCTGAGTTTCCCGCAGGGACGTGTTTCTAGTGAAAAGACAAGTTCATGGGACAGCACACAAACCCACCCCGAGCTCCTCTCAGCCTTAATGGGATCTGTACAATCCCTTCTGCTAGTGCAGCAATATGGATCAGAGGGCATTTGTGTAAGGATCAAAGGGAGAGCTCCAGGCACCAGCATTACTCCCAGTTCATGAGCAGCCACACTTGGTGTGAAAATGCAGTGTTTCTTGTGCCAAGGCAACACTCACAACCCCAAGAAAAAAGCTGACTCAGGGAGGCAGCTGCCTGCGTGCTGGGGAGGTGTGTGCCTCTTCTAGTTACACACCTGCCCCCTGGGGTCTCCAGTTAAGTGCTGGATGGTGTCTGAATTCAAAGGGATCCCTGCAGTCCCCAACACCTCCAGCATCACCATCCTGACTTGACAAGTGGGGAGAAGAGGAGGGAGCTGGCCAAGTCCCCATATACCACCAAATCCCTGGGGTCTGGTGACCTGGGAGAACTTGTCTGCTTTGCAAAGGGCACGAAACTCCCTTCCAGCCTCAAAGCCGAGCTGCCTGCAGGCTGTGCAGGAGCAAAGCCAGGACGTGGCTGTGCTGAGGCACAGCTGAGAGGTGGAGGTGATGGCGCCCATAGAGGACAGCCCCGTGGTGGTGTGAGCGCAGGACACAGGCTGTGGGGAAGCGTGCAGAGGAGCTGGCAGCAGCAAGGCCCTCGTGAAGACATGTTGGTAGGGGGATGCCAGGGGACGTGGCTGCGCAGGGAGTCACGGTCCTGGCGATACGTGAGATGGAACGTGCAAGTTTCATCGGGGCAGGGCTGCAAAGAAGCTCGAGGGGACATGAAGTGTGGCAAACAGCACGAGGGAGGGACACAGCCACGTCCAGATGTGTGTGAGGGCCACGGCTGGGGCAAGGCCTGTGGGGACACAGCCATAGTGAGGTGCACATTCAGGAGACAAGGCCACGGTGATGCCCGCAGGGACAGGGCAAGAGTGACACGTGAGGGCCACGGCGAGGTGCCCGACCACGGTGGACACACAGCCACAGGAGGGTGCAGCCAGGGACCTGCCCGTGGGGATGCCCACAGGGAAAAAGCCACGGCGAGGTGCCTGAGGGACACGGCCGTGGAGACGCCCAAGGGGACGTGGCCGTGGCGAGGGGCACAAGAAGGAAACGGCTGTGGGGATGCCCAGGGGTCACGTCCACAGTGACACCTGCGAGGGGACACCCGCGGGGCCCCGCTCCCCCCCCCCTCGAGGCGCGGGTTCCCCCCGCAGCGGGGCGGGCGGGGGGCTCACCTTGGGGTCCCGCTCGTAGTAGTGCTGCTGGGTGCGGATCCAGCGCCCCACCAGGTGGTCGCGCACCGTGTGGGCGAGGGCGAAGTAGTAGTCGCGGG